GATAAAAGCTGTGTTTGAATATTATATATATAATACATAAGCCTAACGGAGAAATAATTAGCTTTTTAAGATATATAAAGTTAAAAAAATAAAGAAATAACAAAATCATCTTTTTGACATATTTTGATATTTTTTTTTGTCAAAGTAAATGTGATAATCTGGAGACATGACTGACATGATTTGAACCAAGTATTTTGCTTACTTACGAGCTTTCTGCTTTCTTTTGCCTATTTCAGTTTTCTTTCTAGCCATGATCAATACTTTTGTACATATCATCATGTATTCATACTATGCAATATCAGCAATAGGTCCTCATATGCAAAAGTACTTATGGTGGAAACGGTACATGACACAGCTGCAGTTGGTATGTCGACCTATACTTAATTAATATTGTTTTATGCTTACTTTTATGTTTTATTTCATACACGAGCAATGTGATCAATCAAATAAATATAAAGTAATATGTTAAAATGTAAAATAATAACTAGATGTTATTAATGATAGTGTAAAACTTCTAATAATAACCCGGGGTTATTATTCATTGATTTTCTTTATTAGGATGGGTTACTATTAGGGTATGGGTTACTATAAGAGTAGTAGGTTATTATAACTAAGCTTTATGTAGGCATGCACATGAAAATAGTAAACCTCCACCCACTCCCAGCTTTTTGCGTCAGCAATTCATAGAAATAAATAACTACAATACGCGTAAATAAACTTGATTTGATTTAATTTATAAACTCGTTACACGGGTCGAATGGCCGAGCGGTTAGCAGGGGCGCCGCAAGTATAGCCAAAATATCGGCGCTGGTTCGAACGGCACGCTCTCCTGGTTCTGGTGGTAAAACAAGTCTTCTCGGATAAGGACTATAAACCGTGGCCCAGTGCATACATATAGCTCGTGTGCATTATAACAGACAGCCTCTGTGCTGGACGACGAGAGTTGCGGGTACCGGGTTGCAGACACGAAGGGACCCTTAGGGGCGAAGAAATCATTGATCGAGTTCCTAGTCCACATATCAAGCGCTCTGAGCATCTTATGGATATGTGCGCTATATAAAACTACACTATTATTATTATTATTATACTCAGGAGTAAATGCAAGAAAGGATCATCAACAGCTCAATACAAATATTGTGAAGAATGCCTATTTTAAGGAAAATCGTGTTTAAGCGACAACAATGTTGATTTGAATGTCATTTTGTTTAGTTTTGGTACTCTAATAGTAACCCATGGGATATTATTAGAATATTGGGTTATTATAGATTAACATAGGGTGGATTACTATTAAAAAGGGGTTACTAATAGAGTAATGAGTTATTATTAGAAGTTTTAAAATAAGTAATTTAAGTACTCTCCATAATTAACTACACTATGTTTTTTTTTATCTTACAGGTGCAATTTTTTGCGGTTATTTTCCACACAGGGTATAATATGATAGCAGAGTCTGACTGTAACTTTCCACGGAGCTTCAATATAGTCGTGATCTTATACATGCTCTCGATGGTGGCGCTATTTGGTGACTTTTACCTGAAATCGTACAGGGTAAACAATGCTGTGAAAAAGGAATAGCACCTGCTCACATTATATTCTACGGTATTTGGAAAACAATATTAATAATAATAAATGGACTTACTATGTCTGTTGTTAAAACATAACATAGGATTTTCCTCATTTAGGCCTACATAATGAGAACTCATATTGAAATTAGAAAGTAAAAGAAAAATCGTATTATATAATATAATTGAAGTTAAATAAGAAATATTTCCTATAAAAAAAGCGCCGCACCATCTTTACTTTATTCAATTTGTTTAGCAGGTAATTTCAAGTTTATCCTATGTGTTAATTTATTACGTTACTAAAGTTTCTTGTTTCAATAAACAAACAAACCTATAACTCTATAATTATTATAGATCAATAAAGATTGTAGAGTTTAAATTATTGAAGGTATGACATCATTTTTTTTTTTTGTAGTTTTTTTTTGTGTGTTTTTTTTGTTTTTTGGCTTTGTGTAGATGTAGGGTGTTGTGAAGTACCCGAGTGGAGATCTGGGAATAAATTCAAACAATTTTTTTAGCAGTAGCAGGCGTGGTTAGGATAGTAGTAATAATAATAAAAGAGCACTCGGTAGACTATTTTCCATTTAATTAGGATATATTGTATATCGTATCTATGGGATATGATCTTTCAGAAAAAGCAAAAATGAATATCTCCCTTCATGTATCGTTTCAGTGCGAGACGGTCCACTGAATTTAAAAGATAGGAGAATGTATTTAAATAAAAGAAAGAGAAAACGGTGAAATAAAACTATAAAAAAAATCAGAGAACAGTGAAAATTATTTCAATATTAATTTATTTATTGTTATAATTGTCGCTCTTAATTCCACCCTGCTTCACCTTAATTATTATCGACCCCTCTCAATTTTGCATTGAAATTATTATTGTTTGTGGTGTTGTTTTTGTTTATTATTTTATTTTATAATATTTTATTATTGCAATTAGTGTTAGAGAATGATGCCATATCAGGACACATGTTACAATGTAATAGCCTGGATACAGTAGAAAATGAGCGAGAAAAAAGTAAAGGAAAATTTATTTTTGGTTTTTCTGAATCAGTATATCATATAGTGTCTCAGAAAAAAAAAAAAACCCATTCTTAGAGCTTGGGCCATTTTTTTAAATAGCGCTTTGAAATTTTGACATAAAATATCCTATTTTGGACTAATTAAGATGGGGGTAGGGGAAATAAATGTATGTTTTTGTCACTGTTACATATGCTATGTATATCAAATGTAACAAGAACCTGGCTAACTCTTCACTCTCGTTAAAAAATTTAATCGGAATGATGACGTCATCACAAAATATTCCAAGATGCCGGCCATTTTGGTGGTAAAAACTTGTTTTAAATGCTGGGGCTGAGGTGGATGTGTTCTAAATATTTACCACACCCCCACCCCCAACCCACACATCAAAAAATTTCTGGATCCGTCTCTGATAACCGAAAAAATAAAAATCTAAATATGCCACTTGTGACACATCCAACCATTAACATGTTCACAAAAAATGTCGGCGAATTGTCTGTCGGCAAATTGGCTGTCGGCGAATCCTCCTGTCGGCAAACTGGCATTCGGCAAACTGTAGTGTCGGCAAATGGTCTTTCGGTTATAGTCTGTAGGCCAAATGTCTGTCGGTGAAACGTGTGGCCATGTTCATGGTTTTTTCATCTTTTCTTTTCCCACTCTGGGCATATATATACTCTGATTGGCTGAAAATGGAAGAGTCACTCATACGTCACGATGCAAAGCTTTGCTGCGATCAGCCGGTAACAAAGACATCTTCGCGCTGCTGTTGCAGCAGTGATGAGAATTGTCAACATTGTAGTCTTTGCAGACGCGACTTGAAGCATTAACAAGCCTAAAAACATTCAAAATCGAATTTTTTTCTGCTTATTTTCACGGTTTTTGTTCCAAATACAAATTCACCTCATTAAGAATGATCGGTCGTTATTTTCAAACAAAGGAAATATTTATGCATAAAATGAGAGTGGAACTTAATTTATCGATAAACACAAAATGTTCGTTTAAACGAGAATTTAGGTCTGGAAACTAATTTCTCGATGGTACCAGAAATTTCGTGACACCGGACATGCTATACATAAAGATGTTATGTTTGATACTGGGCTTTGGCCAATGAATGCTATAATAAGAACGTTTTTTTTTTACTCTCGGAATGTTAATACTTTTGAATAATTGTTCTTTGTTTATGTTGTGATTATTATTATATCAGTAAATAATTAATATTAATATCATAGTTATTATCTCATTTTAATCGTGTTTTCTTTTTGTCTCTATAAATCTATTGCCGCTGCGTCTGCGAAATTATGTTTCTATGTGTGATTTTGGAAATTAAATAAAAGAAAACACAACAAAAATAGATTATGGCAAAGTGTCTACTTGCCCGCAAGCGTGAAGTAGACACAATGAATTTGTTATATCTAACAAGTAACTTGTCAATTTAAGAAAAAAAAAATCTTCATGTCGACATCTCATCGTTTTAAAACTTATTTTTTAGGTTTGTGACTTATTGAAAGATGACAACTCCTGCTGTTTTAAATAAACAATAATTCATGGTTGGAGCATGCTCGTATCCAAGGTCAATGGACCTTTCCGCTAAGCTCCGCCCCTTGGATATTGTTGCTAAGGTCCCACAAGACGGCAGTGTTAAAACATACGCGGACACGTGCGTTTGTGGGACAACACGCGTGTTTGTAAGACGCGCGCGTATTCCTAACGCTGTTCTGATTAGTCAGTTGTTAAGTATGATTGACACTCCGGAAAGGTCTATTGACATAAACCTATGTTGGTTGTATGGTGTTTATGTCGATTAATATTGACACGAGCATGCGCGGTTCAAATTATGAATTGGCTTATTCATTTTATTTAATAAGATAAGGCTATACTTTGATGTTTTAGGTGGCAGTATATTTTAACTATGGAAGTTGGGGCGGACTTTTTAGTTACACATTGTAGCAAATCTTACATCTGATCATATGAGAGCATCCATGTATTTTTTTTTTGCATTAATTATTTAATTTTCTTTCCATCAGACCATCTTGCATGGTAGCTCTAACGAACTCCTAGATACTCTTCTGTGCCTATGTTGCATGGTTAATAATGTCCAAGTATATATGTTAAGTTATTATTAACCGAATTATTAAAAAATATAATACAAGGAACACATTTCTTGCGATTTTAGTTTAATGCATCATAAATTGAGTGTTTCTTTATGTATGTGACTTCATATCTTACTGTTTTACTTTTAATGATCGTTTTTATAACCAGTACTAATATAATATTATGACACGTATGATGTATGACGTTATATGACTAAAATGCTAAATTAAAATGTCAGACATTTTTCGGGTATATGCCGGAGGTCAAACTGTCTTTTTTCGTCGATAGAATCCGTGTTCCAACCCTAAACAAATGAAAGTAAAAAGAGAAATAAAACATTGTTAATGCACATAATCACTATAAAAAAAATGGATAATATTCATAAGGCTTCTATTATCTATAGTGTTCGATAAAACTTGACAATAATTTCTTTATAAGTTAGTCACCTTGTTTTATATGTAGGCCACAGTGTATTTTGATAGTAATTTTCGTGGCCAAAGACAAAGACAACTTACACCCCAAGGATATTGAACTTACGACGAGCTGAGGCGCGTGCTCTCTCTCTCTCTCTCTCTCTAAGGGCATATTTGTTGTTAACAGCCTACAGCCCTGAGCTTTTTTTCAGAAATTCGTCATACTTGACCACAAGTAAAAACTTTTTAAGCTTTTATTAAAAACCTGTGCGAGTGACGTGTGCTTATACGAGCTTGTCGGTAATGTGTAAACAAACATATGACCATTAATTTCAAAATGATACATGTGAAAACAGTTTGGTGTAGTGGTTAGAAGAGTGTTTTCCACACTACCAGCTCCGGGTTCAAGTCAACCAATACTTCGACCTATCCTTAGATCTTTATCACTTTATCAAGGTACATGAAAAACTAGCAAAAAGTGGACACACATAACCACTGGGAGGAGTTAAAGAATACGGTAAACAATGCGGATTATAATGAGAGTAATTAAATTCGGGTATACAATAATTATAATAAACAGTTTTTAATGAGAACGGAGATTATTAGTCGTTCCCACAATATGCCGATAGTATAATAAACAGATAGTATATTGACCAAAATTCAAAATAAAAACAGGAAATAGAGAAACATAGCATAACATTTAGGCCATGACTAAGGCGAGTTAAATACATATGAAAATCAAAATGAATCTATATTATGAAAAATTATATTGAAAATGAGTGTAGCATAGCTACATCAGGAAGAGAGGAAATAAATAAACTAACATAATAATAAAACCAGTCAAGAAAAAAAAATGAAAAATATAAAAATACGAATGTGATAAATGAATTAAGTAAAAACGATAGGCCAAAATACACAAATGAATGAAAATATGCCAAAGTCAAAATCGCATATATAGGATTGAGTGAAAAAAAATTATGTTAGTGGTGGCTGAATGTGTAGTCGCTAATGATGCCGAGATCTTTATTGAGACCAAAGAGGTGGGTTTTTTTATTTGAGAATATATTTGAGTCCATTAGTTTTTCTGTCTGAATGATATTTGAAATTACCGGCGATAATGGCACATTTCATGTTGTTGAGGGCCTACTATGGTTAGGGCATTGAAATGCTCGGCAACAGGGAATCCGGGGAGATTTTTGCGGATAGAGAACTTGTAGTTATTAATTCTAGTACGAAATTTAGTGCTGGTCTCGCCTATATAATGAACATTGGGGCAAATATTGCAGGTAATTAAGTAAATAACATTAGAAGAATCGCAGATGAAAGGAGGTGGACGAATGGTATGTTTGCTATTAGGAATTTCAATGTTGCTGTCAGTATGAGTGAAGTGCATAACATACAACGAGGTTTATTACATTTAAGGTTACCGTGGTTAGGGCTATCATTAATATTAGAAGAAGAAAGAATAGATTTAAGGTTGCAGGGTTGGCGATTGGCAAGGAGAGGGGGACAGTGAAATATGGTGTTAGTGGATTCGTGCTGTTGAAGTATGGAGAAATCTTTTTAATAGTGTTAGTGAGAGCAGACACTTGGGGCTGAAAGTCAAAAATTAGAGGAATTCGTTCAGTGGTGGATTTGGGTCGTGGGGGTGGGGGCGAGAAGGTCTTGGCGGGATCGTTTATTAGCTTTGGCTATTTGGGATTGGATGAGGGGGATGTAACCTCTGTCAATAAGATATCCCATGAGTAGACCGACATTGGCGGTGTAATCGGCCTCATCTGAACATCCGTTTAAGGCGAAGGGATTGGCTGTAAATAATAGATTTCTTGAGACTGACCATTTTGGATAGAGACGGACACATCGAGCAAAGGGATGTTCTGGGATGGGTAGTCAAGTGTCAATTTAATGTGAGGATGAAATGTGTTAGCATGTTTTTCAAAAAGTAAAAGATTGTCAAGCCCAATGGTTCCAGACGAAGAAAATATCGTCTATATAACGATGATAATGAGCGGGTTTAAATTGAAAAGCAGTGAAGTTTCTCTTCCAAGAATGCCATGAAGATGTTGGCATAGCTGGGCGCCGTTTTGGTACCCATGGCTGTTCCTTTAACTTGGAGAAAGTGCTCATTATTGAAAACAAAATTGTTATGGGCAAGTATAAAACGGGTAATGCTATCGTGGATATGTTCGGGTGGAAAATCGTGTTTGTGAAGAAAAGATGACAGGGCATTCAAAACTTCGTTGTGGAGGATGTTAGAGTAGAGAGACGGAACGTCAATAGTAACAAGAAGGGAATCTTCAGCAAGTTCAGGGATGGAGGATACAATTAAGAAAATGAGTAGTGTCCTTAGTGAAACTGGGAATAGCGGGGATGAGAAGTTTAAGAATAGAATCAATGAAGGCCGAAACTATGGGTCTGCCCAGGGGTGAGATACGGAGGGACCTAACAAGTATGGCTAGATCAGCAGGATTAGTGGGAATATCGGGTGAATGCTTAGTAGTATTAAGTTCTTCGGCGATGAGTTTGGGCAATTGGTGCAGTTTAAGGATAATGTAAAACAAACCTTTGGAAGGGTTATTAGGAGTAAGATTATTTACGGTCGAGTGCGCAATAAAATTAAATTAGGAAGTGATTTTTCGAAGTTCGGATTTAAAACGTTCAATAGGGTCTTTGTCAAGTTTCTTATAAAAATTAAGTCTGTAAGTTGAGAATTAGCTTTCATGATGTAGTCAGTTTTGTTCAGACTTCTTATAAAAATTACATATATATATCCTTATATATATGTCCTTATTAAACACTGTATATGTACCTTTGATGATTTATATTATATTTATTCAACAGTGTTAACGGCTAACTTCCTTAAATATCATATATAATATACGACAGTATTTCTAGCCGTATTTCCAGATTTATCTGGCCGAGGCAGCATTGTGTAATACAATGTTCCCGACGGGTATTTGGACCTGTTCAAACATGAAGACTTCGTGGTCTAATGGTTATGACGCTCGCCCTGTCAGCGAGAGGTCGCAGGTTCGAGTCCCGTTGGAGGCATTTTATTACACAATGATTTTTCATAGGACTTTATTCGTTGAAAAGCTACAGGGTAGCCTACGATGTTCCATCATGTCCTTATTAAACACTGTATATGTACCTTTGATGATTTATATTATATTTATTCAACAGTGTTAACGGCTAACTTCCTTTAATATTATATATATTTGATAAAATTTTTATTCTTAGCCTACATTCAATTTTGTGATAAATAAATCTCCGTCCTTCCACGGATTTTACACAATAATGTTGGCAGTTACCTTCACCGTTATAAAAGCATGGAAAAAAACCACAAATATTAGGAAGTCGCCTCCTCGCTTCAGTAGGATTAGCACCTGTAATAAGAACAATGAATTCATAATTTTTTTCCCCTGATTAATATTTTGAAATTAAAAAGAGAAGTCAATACTAATAGTGCATACCTCCGCCCACATTATAATTCTCCTGAGTATAAATTTCCCCTGCATATCATCCCCATAAAAAAAATAATGGGAAAAAATACAAAAAACAAAAAAAAAAAGCAAAAAAAAAAAACCAAGTAGACTCCTTGGGATTTGAACTTTGAAATTAATGGTCATTTGACCCGTATAAGCAGACACACACCTTTATACGGCAAACAGTTACACAAGTTTTTCGACCATTATGTCCCTGACCCTTCAAAATTTATTCACTTACAGAAATCTTTTTTTTTTTAAATTGTGACCTTGACCTTTAATCCTTACCCTTAACCATTTTTTATATTTGGTCATGTTGCATGGTGACCAACTTTGACAAGTTTGCAATTAAAATTATAGGCTGTAGACAAATAAGTAAAAAAGTTTTTGATTGTGACCTTGACCTTTGACCCCGACCCTTCAAAATTTAATCAGGTCTAAATTTAAGGTAAAGGGACATTGTGGTTAGGTATGACGAATTTTGGATAAAAACTCTGGGCTGTAAGCTGTTCACAACAAATATGCCAACAGAAAAATAAGTAAATAAATGAATATATAAAAAAGGGCAAAAACATAACCTTCAGCCAACCTCTTTGGTGGAGGTAATGAGATATTTGTTATGGAACATTGTGACCAAATTTGACAAGTCTGTGATTGAAACTATGGGCTGTAGACAGATAAATAAAAGAACAAATTTTCGTCAATTGTGACACTGACCTTTGACCCTGACCCTTCCAAATTTAATGAGGTCTAGATCTTAGGTAAAGGAAAATATATATATATAAACATAATAAAATTTTGATAAATACATTTACAACTAGATTTGAACTAGTCACTGAGGACGAGTTAGGTGATCCGCTTGTCAGGCAAAAGATATCTCCCGGCGCTTAAAAGTATGATATATGGATGGAAAAATACCTAAACCAAGATGGTCAAACTGTGGAGTTCAATATCAAATCTGCGAGCCTCTCTCGAGTCTTCAAAAGAATTAAAGAAAGGAAGAGGTGGGCCAAAGGTCAGAAAAAATATTCATTTTTATTATGATGATGTCATCGAAGTGAAAAATAAATGACAAATTCCCCTGCATCTAGAAAACAAAACTGGTGTTTCAACAAGGACTGTACATTATTGTCATTACCACTAATAACGTTCATCGCATGAATGGAGCGGTCGGTTAAGCATGTGTTCTAAAGAACATAAGGTCGTGGGTTCGAATCGCGCCGATACAATTTTATTTTTAAGGAACGAAAATAGCTAAGTAATCTGTAATAAAAAGTTTTGGAATGGTGTCTGGAATGAAATTAAACAAACGATAAACAGAGATAGTAATGTGGATTGGTAAATGGAAAAATCGAACAGATAATCCATTGTAGTAATATGTTGAGAGCACTTGGCATTCATTTTAGTTATGATAGAAATAAATGTAATAAAAATAATTCGGACGAAAAGGTTCATAATTTTACTCAGTTGCTCTCAAACTGGAAGAAAAAGCATCTTACGATGTTTGGTAGGGTGTTACTTGAAATCTATTGGATTATCAAAACTTAACTAGGTCTATATTTTAACTGTACTATATTGGTACCGTACGAGGCTGTCAAGAAGGTAAACCGGGCAATCTATGATTTTATATAGAATGGAAAAATGAAAAAAAGTAAAAGATTGACACTAATTGGGGATAAAAAAAATTACAATGTGATTCAAATATCATGGTTGAACGTTTGTTGTATGGGAAAATTGGAATGTGAAAGATCTTTCCAACACTTTATTTAAACAATGTTTGTATTCATACAAAACTCTTACATTCAAAAGAAGTCATTATATAAAATTCCTAACTTTTAATATAGGATATTAACAACATGCTGTAACAGCAATAACGCAGAGGAACCCTGTCACACAGGTTGAGCTTCTCAATCAAATTCTTTGGAAAGATTGGTACATAAAACATAAGTGTCAGAGTCTGTTTAAAAATTGGATTAGAAGCAAATTAATATTATTTATCAAAGATAGCTACATTAACAACCATAAATTACACCCAGAAGAACCAAACTTAAAGGTAAAATGAATTATCCTCACAATTGGTTGGCTGAATATAAATGTATTTTAGAAGCAATACCGATACAATGGCAAAATGTCTTAAACAGACATGAGTATATATCTACTTAAGTAATAAATTTACAATATTTCGAAGATGAAAACGACATAAAAAAAACTGTATAAATTTGTGTATTAAACAGATGTTCACACAACCAGTGTGTCAAAAAATTGCAATTATTATTTAATGAAGAAAAGATTAACTGGGAAAATGTATGAAAAAGTAAATAATTTTTTTTTATTCAAACCAGAAAGACATCTAAAAATAACGTTGAAATGGAAGAAGCACATAATTACCATTCAAAAGTCAACGAGGAGCAGGTGGAAAATAGGCTCGATAATTTAAGCTGGAGCGCTTGTGGCCAATATCAGCTGATGCCTACGAACGATCGAAGTAGATGTTTGGAAGAATACGGGAATGAAATGGAAGAAATTTTATAAATTATCTTGGTAATCATGTGCTTCTTTTGGACGTCAGATCTGACATGAGCGAACCCACTTGCCTGACGCCTGGGACAAGTGTTTTTAGGGTCGGACAAGAATTAGGGACCACTTATCCTTGGACCAGCGCTTTTAGAATAGGTCTAAGCTAATTCAGAATTACCATGTACATGAGTAATGCTTTTACGATACTAATTATATTATATATAGACCTAATTTTACTAATAATTCCGATTCTTGACAACACGCAGCATATTTTACAAAGAGATATCAAACAGAAGAGCGGCTTCGCTGCGTGCTGTGTTCACCCAATTTTCGGCAACATTAACAATGCGGAACATACACTACTACTAAATGTCGGTATTGGTGAAACAAGTTTTTATTAGGCCTATCATTTATTTATCAATAACATTTTTTGACGGGTCCCGACTAAATTTGTGCCTCCGATTTAAAAAGAAAACTATTATAATAATAATGATAAATTTATAGGCCTATCAATATAAAATGTGACCCAAGCTTACAAACGGGCTGTAAACTCGCACTGAACTGTATTGAGAAACAAACCTCAATACCCAGAATAGGGCATAGAATGTGAATTTTGTATGAATTGGGTTTTTTGTGTAATAAATGTAAACAACATTATGCTGTGTTTCAATACTGATCGTTTTCACGAACAGACACAAACTTTTCACACGCTAATCAACAGGTTAATTAAAGTTAAGGAAAGCAAAATAAATTGGACAATTGTTTAATGCTTTATCTTTAATCATAGGCCTATGTAAAAATATTCAAAATTTCGTTGTCTTGATAGTGAAATTTACGGATTTGTGAAGTAGTCCAAACACGTTTTTCTCAAAGTTTTGTTTTCGTTTAAATTGCAGTTTGTGCCACTTCGTGAAAACGGTGACGAAATCCTGAATAGCATGATAAAAGGACCGTGTTTTAAAGAATAACAAAACATAAACTATTATAAAAAATGTTTGCAAATACTGTATATCGGAAATTACTGAGTAGGCCTATTCAGTACGATAACACATCAGGTAGGGCAAAATATTACTCATATACTCATAGTATAAAACCTTAAATGAAACCGACAAGGATAGGCTATGTCAACTATGTCATGAGTTTCATGGTAATTATTAGTAAACGCGTTTACACAGCACACATAAACTTCTGTACTTGAATCTGCAATCAGTTATTGTTTCCTTACTTATATAGTGAAGCTTAAAAACCTATGTCAGCCAATGACAAGTTATGGTTTCACATAATATGATAATTAAATACAGCAAGCGATGAATAGGCCTACGCACTTTATTAATGAACCAAGTTTATTCATCCACAGTGCTTATAACATGCCAATCATTCGAGTATTTATTTTGTAGGGTATGGGATAAGATGAAATACAAATTCGAAATATTGTGCAGAGTGGGAACGGAAAATAAAGTTGAAAATTAGACAAACACGTGTGGCTGTGGACAACCCGTGCGCGTATTCCAGATCCTGTATTCCGATTACACTTAGTGCGCGTATTCCAGATCCTGTATTCCGATTACACTTAGTGCTCTCCCGCAACAACGTGACCAGAATTACTGGAATTTCCAGGGGCGAACTCAGAGGGTGCGTCTAAACAGTTCAGGCGCCCCTGCCTTAACCGCTCGGCAACCGACCCGATTTTTTTTTTAACTAAACACCCACAAACTCCATTTAATATAGATTTGTTTACCCGCCGTCTGCACGCTAGTCAGACCACTTGCAGTTATATGCTCTACTGTCGTTCTATACTGTAGCCACATGGCATCCATGATGCCTGTTGTGTTGGAGTGAATTGTGCGTGATTATATAGAGATAATTGAATTATGACTGTTATTCATAGGCAAAGTTTCTGCTTGCTACAGATGAATAAAATAACTTTTTGTATGCAATTTTGGTCTCGCTTGTTTTCTTTTTCTTCGTTTCGCTGTTTTTCCTTTCGACACACCTTTCGAAACGAAAAAAAAAAACAACCCTCCCCCCGTAACATGAAAATTGATAACGTAAGGATGCTAATTTTACCTAATGGCCTAATGGCCTAATTTCTTAAGATAGAGTTGGATCAACTGTCGCAATAATATGCTTGTCAAGCCGGCCCTGACCCCTTGCAATAATGACATGAATCGCTAAAGTAAACAGAAATACATTTTGATTTATGTATAAAAAGTTCTCTTTTTATACATAAAAAGCGGAGATGCCATTCCCTACACCTGTACATGTTTACTTATTTTGCAAATATCAATGTTTTTCAAAATCCGAGTTGCCGGTGGCATGGGGATTTCGGCCCTGCCTTCCTCGGCCTATGTGAATCCCTAGTTCCAGAGTTCGGCCCTATAGGGGA